ATTTATTTGAGACAGAGAGAATGAGAGACAGAGAGCATGAGGGGGAGGAGGGTCAGAGGGAGAAGCAGACTCCCTGCCGAGCAGGGAGCCCGATGCGGACTCGATCCCGGGACTCCAGGATCATGACCTGAGCCGAAGGCAGTCGCTTAACCAACTGAGCCACCCAGGCGCCCTAAGAAAAACTTTATTTACATGAGTAATGCACTAAAAAAAATTTTTTTTTGACAGAGAGACAGTGAGAGCAGGAACACAAGCAGGGGGAGTGGGAGAGGGAGAAGCAGGCCACCTGCCAAGCAGGGAGCCCGATGCAGGGCTCCATCCCAGGACCCTGGGATCATGACCTGAGCTGAAGGCAGATGTTCAACGACTGAGCCACCCAGGCGCCCCAATACACTAAATTTTAACATACCAGGAAAATCGCCGAATTCTTGATTGACCTACTAACTCAATCTTACAGAACAATCTCATAAAGACAATCTGCAATATGGGATGTGCTATGTGTCTTTGTTTTTCTGGCATACGGTATAAAGCCCCAGCACATGGTAGGCATCTGATAAATATCAGATAAGTAAAAAGTTCCTTTGGGTCCCCTACAAGAAATACAGAAGTCTTAATATGAACAGTCTAGGATTAATAGAAGTTATCAATAGATATGTATAATAAAATGTTAATGGTTAAACTAGGTAGTAAGCACATGGGTATTCAATGAAGTTTTTCAACTTTGCATTACAGTTGTTTCCATATTAAGTTTTGAAAAATAGGACCGTTTAAAAAATGTATGACCATCTAAAATCTAAAACTTAGTAACGAGAAAAGATAGGCAGAGAATTTTGTTGAAAACCACTAAATCTAGGGCGCCTGGGTGGCTTCGGCTCAGGTCATGATCCCGGGGTCCTGGGATCGAGCCCCACATTGGGCTCCCTGCTCCTAGGGAAGCCTGCTTCTCCCTCTCCCATTCCCCCTGCTTGTGTTCCTGCTCTCGCTATGTCTGTCAAATAAATAAATATTAAAAAAAAAAAAAACCCCACTAAATCTAAGCATGAGTTTCTACTTTGTAAGGTATGCTATGTAAAAGTTCTACAAGATTACCTTTTAAAATTCCCCTGTAACCTGAAGGGGCACTAGTGTTCAAATATGGAAGACGCTAGAGTAAAAATTCTTTAGCACAAGTAGGAAGTACATATTTATTAGTGTGTAGAGGGATTTCACCAAAATTCTTCAAATAAGAGTACACTGAAAATCATTATCTTTTAAAGAACTATAGGGGCGCCTGGGTGGCTCAGTCATTAAGCATCTGCCTTTGGCTCAGGTCATGGTCCCAGGGCCCTGGGATGGAGCCCCACATCGGGCTCCCTCCTCTGCGGGAAGCCTGCTTCTCCCTCTCCCCCTGCTTGTGTTCCTGCTCTATCTGTCTGTCAAATAAATAAATGAAATCTTTAAAAAAAAAAAAAAGAACTTTAAGATTAGTTTACGTATGAAGATAAAAATCATATAAGCACAGTATTCTATTATAAATAAATTAGGCATAAAACAAAGTTTCAATCTCAAAATGAAGTTTATCCTCAGTTTCTTCCAAATGCCCTTAGAGCTCATGCAGGAAGTCCAAATATCAGCTCAAACTCAATCTCCCAACTTCTTTAGGTTTAAGTCTTACTCTATTTGGAGCCTATTTTTAGGACAATTTGCAATGCAGACAACTTGTTTTTGTCTAAAAGAATGACTTTCCCAACTTTTATGTTATACATTCAAAGTTGAATAAAAAAAATACTTCTGCCAGGTTATTATTGAATTAACTAATAAAGGTATCAGAGTTTTTGTTATACTTGCAAAAGTCATCTTTAAAGTTGCCTCTGTATTGTTACAGATTCAACCTCACAAAAGGAAGCTTCTTTGTCTTAAACTCTGCACTCACCTCCCAGCATCTATTCATCTCTACTTCCTCTTCTTGCTGTCCATTTACTAATTTCTGAGTAAAATGCAAATGTCCCTATAACATAGGAATGTTTCTGCCTGACTCAGGAGGTTAAATTTCTTGACATCTACCATTATTTAAGAAAATATTACAATTTTACATGCTTCAGGAAAATTGCAGTTGTTAAACTCACAATTTAATTTCCAAATTTGTTTAAATGCTCAAAATGTTTTGATGTGACACAAATTTTAAATGGATTAAAAAAAAAAAAGAGCCTAACAAGAAATTTTATCAAGATCATTCTTATTCTCTTATAAAAGTAAAATCTCATCCCCTGAGGAACAAATTCTGTGTTGTGGCTATAATTTGATGAATTCTGGCATAGGACTAGAATCATATAGAATATTAACCAAACCATCCTAAGGACTTTCATGAAGCATCAACATACCAAGTGTAGGATATAACTGATATGTCAAGTATATAAGTGCATTCATTCAACCAAAAGATAATTATAATATTATGCCAGCCTAGTTTCTATTCTCAAAAAAATAAGGTTTTTCTTAATAAGTTTTATTGGAAGTGCGTATGTCAGTTCCTCACCTGTCGTTCACAATAGGCTTTCATTAGTTTACTAAGTGGTGTATGCCTCTTAATCTTAAACTGCACCACAGAACCATCCTGCCCCGCCACCTTCAAATTAATATGATCGTTGTTCTCAGTCTTGACTCCTTCCTGTTGAAAGAAAAATAAAAGTATAATTTGGAAAATGTGAAAAACAAACACCTTTTAAAGTAGCAGCAGCCCAACTTGCTTCAGAAATCAACAGGTTTCTCATTCTGTATGATAAAAGAGTATACAGCTGTTTTCAGCCGCTGAAATCAATCTGAAAGATGAAAAATCCTGGAGCAATGATATTAAATAGCTGTCACAGAAACGGAAAAGTAACCTACATGCAATACCATCAGCGAAAACCATTGACTTTTATCGATGGGTCCCACTCAATTCACTGAAAGGCACTCCTGCATCTGAATTTTCTAAAATGGCATATTTTATCCCTCAAAATTTGTCATTTCCCTTAAAAAGATTAAAAATAACCATCTTTTCTCTTTATAAAGCGCTTTAAGTACAGAATGCAAGGATAAAAATCTAAAACTTGCAACCGAAAACTCATTACAACCATCTTGTTAAAAAGTTACTAAACTCAATTTAATAACTTATATCTCAACTACATTTAAAAAAACCTAACTGAGGAATATCCCTCGATTCTCTCTGAAGCAGCGGTAGTAACTTAGAACCACTATTCATGTTCGCCTCTATTAGCAGCCTCACTTTTGTTTATTTTCAGTTAAGAGCTCTTATTCTCCCCTCCCCTTTGTTGTCATGGGTCAAATGCAGTTTTCTTCCAAGTCTTCCTTGTAGATTTCCACCCAACCTGAAGTTCACCAAAATCAAAGGCTGATGTAATTCTGTAGCCCCCAAGTCACTTCAGAAAGGAAAGGGGAGGGGGTGTCACAGAACAAACCCTACGAAAGTCCCGTGTGCCAGGATTAGAAGTGTGTGCCTTAGTCCTCACGGGAAGAGCCTCCCGGTGCCTCAAAACCCGCGTTAAAAAGTTAAGCCCTACCAAGTCTTTCTGCTCGCACCTCTGCCTCCAACTTCTCGAAACCGCATGGTCTCCGCAGGTTAGGGGTGATCTGGCACCCAGGCAAAAGCCCCTGCCCAGCCCCCTGGGGACCCCGAAGCCGGGAAAGTGGGAAATACTCCCCGGGAATCCCCGAACCCCCGGCCCCTCACTACGGCCCGATGGGGACCCCATCGGCAGCCCATTGATTCTCCTCGAGCCCTCTCCAGGCCAGCGCGGCGCGGGGCAGGGGTCCCCAGATGCCCGCAGCCCCCCATCCCTGAGGGGGGAAGCCCGGGGTGGAGGGAACTCCCCGCCACCGCGGAGGCGGCAACACCCGCCGCGGCCAGGCGCGGGGTCCGCGGAGGGTGGGGACACCGCGCGCCCTAACGCCCCTCCGCACGCGCGCCCGG